CTCTGACCCTTCTTCTATACAGTTTGATGAAATATTTCTTTCTTTTTCAGGTAGACCCGTTTCTTGAATTGGTGGAAGATTGCAAGCTAGATGCAGTTTTCTATGGCCAAACAGAGCAACCACTTAAGAATTATGGATCAAAGGAAGACGATGACGACGCTTTACGTTCACTTGTGGCGATAGAAGAAACTTCACAAAATCAACCTCGAGACTATTACGCTACCATGATAATGAAGTTTCTAGGGAAACTATCAGATGTAATATTCATCATTTTCTTATAATTATGTTGGACTGTCCATGAGTTTACTTACTTAACAGTGTTGATGGTTAAACTTGCAGCAAGATTCGTCGTCTATAAAGGAGCAGCTAGTTTCAGATTTCATACCTATCGACGGTTGTCCAGTTGGAACGCAGTTGACAGAATCTCCGGTTCAAGTTTACCGCTCTGAAGGAAAAAACAACAAACCTCCAGAAAATGTATGTGATGTGTCTACTTTTTATGCTCTTATATCCTGAAAATGTCAAGTTATTATGATTCTAACATCAAATCTGTTTCCGCAGGCTGAAACTCATTTGCTTATTCCGGAGCATGATGCAGTGCCGAGTCCTCCAGAAGACCAGCTTGGTCTTGACACCCAACCAAACGCCAAAACCGCGTTTCTTCTGAGCATCGATGAACTTCTAAGTGCAGTGAGTTCTCTCTTTTTTTGTTTGTTTTGCTTCGATTGGACTCTGAGAGACTAAAAGTGAGACTGAGACGAGTTGGGAAATGTGTGTGCAGGTGTCTCAGACAACAGCACAATTAGGAAGATACTCAGTGTCAGATCCACCAGACATGACATACACAGAAATGGCAGGACATTGCGAGGCTCTTCTAATGGGGAAGCAAGAGAAGATGTCTTTCATGTCTACGAAGAGCAACAGATTCAGCAACCAAGCCAAAGAAACTCAGGCTTTGCCTTCTGGTGGTGGTGGGAATCCGTTTGTTGATAGTCAGAGGAACTCGTGGGAGATGATGGGATTGGGTGCAGCTGCGCCTTCAAATATGTGCGTCACAGAGTATCAAAACCATCCTCCTTTCTTCAATCCACCTTCCTCTACTCCTTTCGACAACTTCCTTAAACCCGTTGGTTCTTCCTGATTAGTTTTCTTAATTTCCATTTCCAGTTTTTTTTTTCTTTACAGTACTGATTTTTTTTTGTTTATAGAACGTGAATAATTTATTCCACCCAAAAATATGTAGCAATAAAGGTAAGTTATTTGCTTAAATAATACTTCTTTTTCTGGAGTCAGTGAAGGTTGTTCCTATAAGGTTTCGGTTACAAAATTACCTGTAAGAATAGCTTCTTGTTTGGTGCACTAGTCAGTCCACTACAAGACTTTCAGAATTCAATAAAGCGCATTATTAATTTATTATACTGCGCTAATGTCACTTGACATATGGATTTGATATACGGCTAACGAAAATCACATTCACAAATCAGAACTAATGTTGTTTCATTTATAGAACTTAATACTGCAATATGTTTCTTTCGTCACGTGCAACAGAGAGCAGAGCGTTACAACTAGTTATAGACATACAACGCGAAAGACCTTTAAGCCGCCGCTCTACAACAAACAGACATGACAGGCAAAACAGAGAGGTTTTTCGAAACAGCGCCTCTCACAAGAGAGTAATGATCTTCCTGTGGAGTTGATGTGCAGCTTCATGATCATGATGACCATGGTGGTCATGATCATGGAAAAGCAGAGTTAAGATACCTACCAAACACAGGACCGAACCAACCAGTAGCTTGTCGTATCTCTCCACCCAGTGAAACTTCAGCTGGCTTGCACCATAGAACGATAGCGCCACCAGCGACGTCATCACCAATATGGTGCTGCCCAAAAACATATCAAAGATCATTTCAGATTCTCTATATAGATAGATGTTTATTGAAGCAACAAAACAGTAGTATACGTCTCACCTGATGAGCAGAACAATGATGGCGAGAACCATCATCGGCTTTGAGTTTCCAACGGCGAGGAAAACAGGGAGAGTCGTTGCGCAAGGAGATAACGCAGGAACAAGGACAAGCCCAGCAACAGCCATTTTCTCCATTGGTTGGTTATGAGAATGAGTGTGACCACCTTTACCAGCCAAAAACAGCAAGATGTAGCTTCCACCGAGAATTACGAGCAGAAGGGAAGCAAGTTTGTGAACAGTCTCTTCGCCGGCGATGGTATTCGCCATTGTGATCGCTGTTATGCCAAGAAGGGAAGTGGAAATCACATGCAGGACTGCTCCAAATGCAGCTGAAATTTAGTGAATACAAAAACATCAGAATGATGATAGCAAATCAAACATAATCAGAAACATTGAAATCGTGTATTTTGAGCTTGAGAAGCACATTCATTCAATTCAATGAGATATATAATTAGTAAGGTGGCTTTCTTTAGACACTTTGTCTCAAAAGAAGAATGTGAACACATCATTCATATCCATAAGAAGACACCAAATGCAACACCAACGTTGATGACGAACATCATCGAAGCAAATACAAGTCTCTGATTAGACCATTGAAGCAGCAGTTGAATCATTCATGCCTTTATTCCTTAATTATCTATTTCTAGCTTTAAGCAAACAATGCCTTCGGAATATTGACTCTACGAAATGCAGAATAATTTGAAAATTCCAGAAACATCAAACGAGAATTGCTTATGCAGGAAGAGAATCGGGGATTTAGAAATTTCACAAAAGATCTAAGAAATTCGGAACGTACTGACGAAGAGGGTTCTAGAAAGCGTCCATTTCTGAGCGCGCCCAACGATGGAGAAAGGTAACCAGTGCGTCGGGATGAACGAATGAAGGAGGGATACTGTGGCGATTCCGCCGATCGTCGACAGATCCTCCGCGCTAAAAGTGTCCATTTGTCCTTCCTCCGTAAAAATAGGATCCGAGAAAACTTCGATTGCAGGTCTAAAGAACAGCAGCTCGATTCTGACTCTCCGATATATGAATCAGAAGGGGGAATTTACATTTGAATCTTCTCTGCTTTCATGGAGAAGACAGTAAGATCTGAGGAAGAAGAAACTCGGAGAAGCAAATTCAGTGAACTGTACGCCATTACCATAGCATAGCCCAATAACCGAATCAGACCGGGTTAGTTTTCTAATTTTAAAACGGAATCGATCCAATCAAACCAACAGAAAAAGCTCATCCGAACCGAAGTGAACCATTCTGATGTGTAAAAGGCCGACTCCCAAACCGATTAATTATTTTGTTGCTTATTTCATCGACTTGGGAACAATTTATTTTGTTGTTCAAAACTTGCCGACTTCAATATGAAAATGAAACAAATCACAGATTTTACAAGCCAAAAGTTACAGAAATATTGTTTTCCATTGTCAACAAGATTCAGAATTTCAATGTTTTACGAACATTGACAATTTCAGACTTTAGTCAGTATAGTCTCTAAGGAAAGTTTCAGAACTTGAAATTTTATAATGAAAATCAGCTGTGACATCCCCAATAGGAACATGACTTCCTCATCCTCGTTCTCTTTTCTAATTCCCACAAGATTAGTTTAACATTTAAATTTTATTTTCTTAGAGAATTGATAAAGACAGTATAAAGTCTTCGGAGAAACAATAAGAATGGTAAACGGTGATCCAACTCACTAGTTAATATATGATATATATACGTAAACATCGATGTAATAGATTGCAATCTCCCAACCAAAGGATCCAAATCAACTAACTAACTCATCATGAGCTCCTCCACAATAGAAGGTGAAAGCAAACAATCTTCTCAATTAGTTTCCCTATAATATTCCACAGTGAAACTAATGTTAATTATCTTGAGTTACAAACTTACATGTATACATCTTCCGACTTCCGCTCTCTTGTTTCTTTGTAATATACGCAGCTCCACCGATGCAAACCATGGACACCGAGGTCAACGAAGAAAATGCGGCAAAAAATGTTTACGCCCCATGTTGTCCAAACTGGTTTGTACATGTATATATATATATATATACTTTTTAAAAAGAATTATAATTTCAATTTAATGAAAGATACTAACCTTTGCATCAACCTTTGTAGCGATTGCACCTCGTCTGAAGAATGTTGCGGTGAAGAGGAATGTGGTGTTGAATGTATGAAAAGTCTCTTTACGGATTGTTTCCACTTTGAAATATTTTTTTGCTTTTGTTCTTAAATTTTTTAAAATACATACTACTTGTTCTTGTCAAACCCATTATTGTTGCTTATATAATCGACTTGGGCCGAATTTACTTTGGAAATTTTCAAAGCTTACGGAGCTGATATGAAAATGAAACAAATCACACATTTTACAAAATGAAGTTTCAGAAAATTTGTTTCTCCATCTTTCTTTTGTCATCAAGATTCAGATTTCGATGTTTTATACGAACATTGACAGTTCCAGGCTTTCAGTCTCTAGGAAAGTTTCGGAAGTTGATATTGGAAGATTGACGAGATCGACCATGTCAGAGATAAGGAAATCAAGAAGGATCTAGAAGATTGATATTTGGCAATATCTAAGATTAGGAAACTTAGCTTTTATCTTAAATATATTTATTTCATATTAGTTTAGGAAATTAAGTTGGCTTTGATCTCTATATAAGTTTATGCATCTTGTAACATTATTTTCATGAGAGTCTATTATTATTCTTCCTAAACACTTTTGTGTTCTTTACTCTCATCAATTTGTCAGTTGAAGTTTCATGATGAAAAAATTCTCAATAGGAACATGACTTCCTCATCCCCCGTTTATCACATGTACATTGTCTTTTCTAATTCATACAAGATTAGTTAACTTTGAAATTTATATTTTTTAGAAAATTGACCAAGACAATATAAAGTCTTCGGAGAAAAAAAATTAAGAAAGGTAAACGTGGATCTAGCTCAGTAATTAATACGATATATATACACATAAACATCAATATAATAATAGCTAGCAATCTCCAAACCAAAGGATCCAAATCAACTCAATACTCATCATGACCTCCTCCACAATAGAAGGTGAAAGCAAACAAATCCCTATCAAATCCTCTTTAACTATATGTATACATTTTCGGCTCACTTGTTTCTTGGTAATATGCACAGCTCCACCGATGCAAGCCATGAACTCCGAGGTCAATGAAGAAAAGAAGAAGGCAGTGAATTTTTACCCCTCATGTTGTACAAACTGGTTAGTACACTTTTTAAAAAGAATATTAATTTCAATTTAATGAAAGATACTAATCTTTGCTCCAACCTTCGTAGCGATTGCACCTCGTCTAAAGAACGTTGCACTAAAGACGGACGTGCTGTTGAATCTAAGAAAACTCACTGGACGGATTGTTTACTCTTCCCGTGTGAAATTTGTTTTTGTTTTTGTGTTTAATTATAAAATACAGATTACTTGTTCTTGTCTCTTAGACAATGCCTAATGTATAAAAATGACATAAGAATGCAATGTTGTGTTGCTATGTGTGTGGAAAGCTGCTTAATCGCTGTTTGCAATCTCTAAATCTCTAAATCTCTAAATCTCTAAATCTCTAAATCTCTAAATCGCTAAATCTCAGTCGCAGTCGCAGCGACTGCCAAACGAACAGAGTCTGAATCAGATATTCAGAGGAATAAAACGCTGTGCGCTTACACGCGTTTCTAAAACGCTGCGACGTGATTAGCGTTCTCCAGTGTCACTCAGTAGTCAACAAGAACCCAGAAATCCAGGGGAAAAAAAAATCTGCGGTAGAAGAAGCAGAAGAGGACGAAATCGAGGAGGAGGAAGAAGGATGAAGAAGATTCCGGTGCTTCTCATGGGCTGTGGAGGTGTTGGCCGCCACCTTCTTCAACACATCGTCTCTTGTCGATCGCTTCACGCCAAAATGGTCCCTTTTCGCTTCTCCTAGTTTCTCTCGATTTCTCATTAACGAACGAATCCGAAACTGATGTTGTTGTTATAGTGTATGGTTTCTGAAAATTGTTATGATGAATCACGGTTTCTGGATCGTCTTACCTCGATTTTCCTTGTTCGCCGAGGAACGATTCGAATTGATAAACTCTTTCTTCCCTTTTGCCAGGGAGTTCACATACGAGTGATTGGAGTAAGCGACAGCAAATCCTTGCTTGTTCCAATGGATGTGCTCAAAGAGGAACTGAATGATGAATTCCTGTCACAAGTTTGCCGTATCAAATCAAATGGTTCTCCATTATCGACGTTTAGTGCTTTAGGTAACTGTTTTGAGTGACCATTCATTGGTTTTCCTTTACTCATGTGTGTTTGCTTATGGATTATAATCTGAATGGTCCCATTTTGTTTCCCAGAAAAAGGTGGATTTCGAGTGGTGGGTGAATCCGAGTTAAGGAAGGAAACTGAAGAAATTACACAGATTCTGGGTAAATCTACAGGTTTGTACCAAACTTGAGGTTGAAATATAATTGTATCATGCCTTTTAGCTTCACGAGGTGGCTGTGTGAGTTCTTGTAGATTAAAAGCCTTGTATTTTATTTGATATATAGGCTTAGCTGTTGTGGATTGCTCAGCCAGCATGGAAACGATTGAAATACTGATGAAGGCAGCTGAGTCCGGTTGCTGCGTTGTCTTGGCTAATAAGAAGCCTCTTACTTCAACACTGGTAACTTCCTGTTACTTCTTGTAAGCAGTTTTTGCACGTTTTCTGCTTATGTTATGAATGTGGAAGTATAGGCATAGAACTTGTTATGGATTTGGTTGTTTTTAAAACGTATTTAGTCATGAATTCTCCTAATTCTACACCCTAATAGTTATGTCTTACTCATTCTAAAAAATGTATAACGAAATGACTTGTATTTTCTCTATTTTGTTTTTTTTTTTCTTCCACGCAGGAACACTATGATAAGTTGGTTTTGCATCCGAGACGTGTCCGCCATGAATCTACTGTAGGTGAAACACAGCCTGCATATAAAATGACAATACTATTTCATATCTTGCTGTCTTTTGAAAATGAAACTAGCTGTAAAAATATACACTTCCTCAAATATTTAGTTTGCTACTTTACCTGATCATATGTGTGGTTTTATGTATGTTAGGTAGTAATCAAGACATATGTTTATATTTTTTATAGGTTGGTGCTGGGCTTCCTGTCATTGCATCCATGAACCGCATAATCTCATCTGGAGACCCTGTTCATAGTATCCTCGGTAGTTTGAGCGGTAAATCACACTTCAGATGCAATTCATTTTACTATTATAGTGTTACTATATGATGTTTGTCATTGTTCTTATCCCAGTTCATACCATGTATTATTAATTGACGAATCTTTGTATCGATGTATGATAGGTACCTTGGGATATGTAATGAGTGAGCTTGAAGATGGCAAGCCTCTTAGCCAAGTTGTTCGAGCTGCCAAAACGCTGGGGTACACTGAACCAGGTTTTGTCCTGTTTCACTAAGTTATCATGGCACATATCTTGTTTTGGTTGATTTTTAAAGTAGATATCGCTTTAGCTTCCTTTTTATATTCCATAATCTGTTTTGTAGATTGACAGTATTCTCCAACTTACTTTGACCTTATAGTGCATCAGAATTTGTGTGGCCTTGGGATAATCCTAGATGAAAAGAAGTATCATGTTTAAATATTCTGAATATGACGGTTGATTGACATGTTCTTTTGTTTTCTTATACAGATCCACGTGACGACCTCAGTGGCATGGATGTTGCTAGAAAGGTATGGACGAGTAGATACAGTGTTTTTTTTGTTGACGAGAGTATATAGGATACAAATTTTTATGTTCTGAGCTTTGTTTGTTTCTGTCATGACAGGCTTTGATTCTTGCTCGGCTTCTTGGAAAGAGGATAACTATGGAAAGCATAGAGGTGTGAACCACATTCAAAGCTCCTCTCACTTGTCTATCTTTTGAATTTAAGGCTGTGATTTATGTTTTGTGTACCAACTCTCTAGGAGTCAAAGTCCAGTTGATTTTTTTTGGCTTGAGAAACTCTGTTTCATCTTTGTCTATAATGATGAAGCTTGAACTGGGCTTTGACATGCTGATCTCAGTCTTGTCTGTGTTTCCTCCTCCTTGATCACGAAAAGAATCTAACAAGAGTCTTTGATCCCTTTTTTGCTGAATATAGTTTTAACTATTTCTCTGTAGATAGAGAGCTTGTACCCTGAAGAGATGGGACCTGGACTCATGTCTGTGGATGATTTCCTCCAAAACGGAATAGTAAAACTTGATCAGAACATCGAGGAGAGAGTTAAAAAAGCTTCATCAAATGGGTGTGTGCTTCGTTATGCCTGTGTGATTGAAGGCTCAAGGTAATAACGATTACAGTCAACATTCAACACCTTAAAGAAATCTGTTTCAAGGCTTAGTTTGATTATATCTACCGTGAACAATTGTTTCCTAATTATATTGGTAAACATATGCAATTGAAATCGTTTCGCTGTTTCTCTGTCTCTCTGCAGCGTTCAAGTTGGTATTCGAGAAGTTCCAAAAGATTCGCCACTTGGACGACTACGAGGCAGTGACAATATAGTAAGTTTGTTCTATGAAAATGAAGAATAAAACGTGCAATGTCACTTCTTAGCTCACATTATCCCAAGAACTCAAACACAATATTTGCCTCTATCGTCACTCAAAATAACTTGAAAACCTGCAGGTGGAGATATATAGCCGTTGCTACAAGGAGCAGCCTCTAGTGATTCAAGGTGCTGGAGCCGGCAACGACACGACTGCAGCCGGTGTTCTTGCAGACATCATCGACTTGCAGGATCTCTTTCCTTGAGAAGACGTGGTTTTAATTTTATATGAAGCCACTTCCATAATATTTACCTCTTGTTTTAACTGGTCAACGCCAAATTCATCGTATCTTTTCAGTAATTCATCAAAAATAAAGATATTAGCCAACGAGAACGTGACCTTGAGTTGACAAATCAAAAGAATAGAAAACAAAAAAGCGTTGACTTTTAAAAAGAAAGCAGAACGGAGTCAGACGGAGAGAACGGTGTCGTTTGATATGTCAGTGTGATCGATCTGGTTTTTGGGATCAAGAGCCATCTCTCGTAGCCGGAGAAGACTCCCTGCAGCCAGAATCGCCTTAGGGTTAATATCGTGCAGAGATCGGAGATACAAACTCTGACATGCTTTGTTCGCCGCCTCCGCCACTTCTCTGTCTTCCCCTTTGAGCCCCATGAGGCAGTGCCCTAAGATCCTCAAAATTGGCTGTACAAGCTCCCATGGCAATGGAATCCGTCCGCTGTCTCTCTCAGATCTTCCTACAATGGCCACGTTCTCTTCGTCTCTCCACGAATCGTCGCTTAACGTAGGGATCACAGCTCGTGAGTGCTCCGTCTCTCCGTTTTGCCCCGCCCATTTCTCGCACGATTCGCAGAAATTGAGCTTGGATTCGCGCGGCATTCTCGAGATTTTGCTGTAGTAAAGCTCCAGCGCGACTCCGACGATCCTCGCGCGGCGTGTGGATCTCACCGTACCGTGCGGATCGAGCGTGGAGGAGATGACGGCGATGTTGAGGCACGTTGAGTTGTTCTTCGTGGGGCCTTTGGATTCGTGGTAAATGCTGGGGTGAGAGAGATCGGGAATGTTGACCGTTATCGCCTGACCGGCGCGTGAGGTTGTCTCGTGCGCGTATAGAGCGAGCAAGACGGCTTCGAATCCGGCTTGTGGTTGCCGGAGAGGGACGCGGGAGAGGTAGAGGCCAGCGATCAGAGGAACGAAACGGAGGACGAGAAGCTGGAGCGATGGTTCCGTGGATTGGAAGGTGTCGTAAAGCCAACGGCAGAGGTTATTATCACCGGCGCCTGAATCGGGACGGTGGAGAAGAGAGGAAATCGCGGCCGAGACAGAGTCATCATCGAGGAGGAGAGAGATCGTGGAAGGAATATTTGTTGTTGTGACGATGGAGGCTAAGGTTTGTATAGCTGTTTGACATTTCGCATTGGAATCGGATGGTGATGAATCGTTTGCCACGGTGGTTACTGAGTCGCCGGCGATCGCCGGAGAAGGTGGAGAGTCATGACTGGAGGAAAAATCAGACATTTTGAGGTGGAGGTTGATCGCTTGTGAGAGAGAGAGGCCAAAATATGGATTTTTGAATACTTTGAGAAAATAACGCAGCAAAAATAGGATCAAATATTTATATTTTGCACTTTTAACACACTGTACAACCTGCGTCGTCCGATATTTTTACATCCAACGGTTATCATACAACCGTACCGGGGCCAGAAACACAAACTTAAAAAAAAATGGCAATATTTTTCTAGTCTTTTGCTGGTTCTCAATCTTCATCTCATCAATTCGATCAGAGAAATTAGGGCAACGTAATTTGGGGGAAAATCTCTTCTCTGCTTTGTTTACTTGAGGTACGTAACCTGTCTCAATTCTGGGTTTTTTTCCATTTATAAGGCTTTCTCGTTGTTCGTTAGTTTGGTTTAGCTAACATGAACGAATCTGTTCCTCTTTTCTTTATTTATGATGTAATGGTTTGATTGTAAACGATTTACGGATATTCATGTGATCGGAAGATTCAATTTTGTTCATTGTATTTGTGGCTCGGCTGAATTTAATCGTTTTCTCGTTTTTCTTCAAGCTTGGCTGGATTCGTCTCTGGAGCTGTAGATTTTCAGATCCGGTCAGGGTCGTTCGTGAGGTAATACTTGTTTGGGTGTTTCGGGCTACATCGGACATTGGCTGGATTTTCATGGAATTTGAGTGCCAAGAGAGAGTTCAAGTTGCGACTATTGGCGAGAGTTTGTCCAAGCAAAGAGCTGAGTCTGATCTTCTGAATTCCGAGTTGATAACAGGAAATGGGTCTGTTGAGATTCCCATTGTGAAGCTGTGTTCTCAGCAAAAGAAGGGAACTTTGGCGGCCAGTGGCTCGAAACAGTTGCTCTCTGACAAGGAATTGTCGACGACTTCTCATCGTTGCTTCATTATTGATTTGCCTCAGGCATTGATATCTGAGATTCTTAATTGCCTTGACCCAAAAGAGTTAGGTCTAGTGTCTTGCGTTTCAACTAGTCTGCATAGGTTAGCTTCAGAGCATCATGCTTGGAAGGGATTCTACTGTGAGAGATGGGGACTCCCCATGGTTTCCGGGGTTAAAGGTTCCGGATTTCTTGATGAGAGATCATGGAAGGAGCTCTTTGTTGAGAGGGAATTTAGGAGTAAGACCTTCTTAGGACGCTATAGCATTGATACCCTTTATGGTCACACTGAAGCAGTTCGCACTGTTTTTCTCTTAGCCTCTGCCAAGCTTATCTTCACTTCTGGATATGATTGCACTGTTCGAATGTGGGACATGGAAGAAGGCTTGTCTATTGCTGCATCTAAACCACTTGGTTGCACGATTAGGGCTGTTGCGGCGGATACGAAGCTGTTGGTAGCTGGAGGTACTGATGGATTTATACATTGCTGGAAATCGTTGGAGGGTTTCCGGAACCTGTTTGACCTCACGGGATTTCAGAAAGAGAAGACCGAGTTTCGGCTATGGGAGCATGAAGGTCCTATTACGTCTCTTGCCCTTGACATGGCAAATATCTATAGCGGTTCATGGGACATGTCTGTTCGTATATGGGATCGGTCTTCAATGAAGTGTATCAAAACGTTGAGGCATAGTGATTGGGTTTGGGGACTTGCACCTCATGAAACCAGCATTGCTTGTACGTCCGGTTCGGATGTGTACATTTGGGACATTAGCAGTGAGACTCCATTGGCAATCATCCATGATGTTCATGAGGGTAACACTTACTCTCTTGCAAGAAGCCATAGTGGGGATTTCCTGTTTACCGGTGGAGAAGATGGAGGAATCAAAATGTTTGAGATCAGAAAATTCGGCAGTGAGACGAGCGTTGTGCTCATATCTCAATGGATGCCTCACACTGGTCCTGTGTACTCTCTTTCTTTTGAGTTTCCCTGGCTTGTCTCGGCTTCTGGTGACGGTAAACTCGCACTTATCGACGTCAGGAAGTTGTTGAAGACGAACCGTTCCAAAAGGGTTTCTTCGCGTAGTGTGGAACCGCCGCAAAGAATGCTGCACGGGTTCGGGTCAAACTTGTTCTCTGTGAGCGTTGCTTGTGACCGTATAGTTTGCGGAGGGGAAGAAGGCATAGTTCGGATATGGAACTTCACGCAAGCGTTGGAGATAGAGCGAAGGGCTCGAGCGCTTAAAGGAATGAGGCTTGAGAACAGGATGAGACGAAGGAGGATGCAAATGGAGATGAATGGAAAGAGTGGAAGGCCTGACCAATGCTCCATTGCTGCTCATAAGAACCCCATCAATGGCGATAGGAACCGAGCTTGGCATACGAAACGAAGAGCAAGCGGGAAGGCCAAGGCATAAGCAATGCAATTCGTTTTCACTCAACACACAGAGTGGAGCAACTTTTACCAACCTTGGCATATTTTGGCTTTGAGCAAATAGACTTTGGTTCCTTAATGATTAATGGAAACTGTGAAGATTGGCTTTTAGCTCGCTTTTCAATTCAGATGTTTCGGAAACCGTTAATTTCAGAAGTTCGTTCTGAAAAGGGAAAGAATTTCCAAAAAGAAAGATGTAACTGGGTAAATTCAACAAAAAGTTCACTAAAGTATGAACTTATTTTCAAAATCTTAACACAATTTTATTCGGATTTTTTATTTACAATTAATGAACACTAATAGTATTCCCTCCATTTCAAGTTATGTCATTTTAGAATGAAAGAACAAAAAATACGAGATAAGTGGCTATTGTATGATTTTAATAATTTTAACTTCATTTACGTGATTTTTTTATAACAATATTAAATGAAATGGAGAGAGTAATTAAGTGGGATTAAAATGAAAACGAAGGAAATAGGTTTAACTGTTTTTTGTTTGTTCGACGACAAATAGGGTTTAACTGTTTAAGAGGGAAATTTTTTTCTTTGCTCTATGCATACAAAAGCAGTCGCATTCTGTTCACAAGTTCATGTGTGTGGTGAAGTTTGAGTCTTGACTGTTACATTTGCAATTTACTTTCGTTCATTTATAAGATACTTGCAAAAAGGACATATGAATTAAAGTAAATTGCAAATGTAACCCACTTTTTTTTCCAATTCCACATTTCCTAGATTTAAATAATCACGAAATTGTTACTATTTTTTTTTTTACCAATATCCAAAAGACTAGAAAACTTACATCATTTTCACTTTTTTTTTATATAACTTAAAAAATAAATCTGAAGTTTATAGAAAAGTCAAACTAATTTTTGGCAACGATATAACACATAGATTATTTCTTCGGGTATGCAAATGGGCCGAAAGCAATAACTCATATCCTTGTGATGTCTAAGGAAATGTTATGAATGTGGCGAAAGTAAAGACCATCTCTCCAAGTATATAACCTTATTATTCTCACTTATTCACAGAAATATCATATTCATCAGTTCACCTACCACCTTTTTTTGAGATCTCTAAACTCGCTCTTTCCTTTCATAACTTCTTATTCTCCAATTTCTTCTCCAATTTCATCATTTATCCTTTCGAGATTGAAGTTTTAAGATCCTGTATCCAGTGATTTGTTCAGCATAACGACTGAACTTAGTGGTGGTTTCGAAGTTCTCGGCTTAGCAAACGTAAGAATATCCATTCGATTTTATTTAAGTATCTATTATTCACAGAAATGTATATAAGAATATCCATTAGATCTCCAAGTATATAAACCTTATTATTCTCACTTATTCACAAATGTCATAATCATAGGTTCACCAACCACCCATTTTTGAGATCTCTAAACTCGCTATTTCCTTTCGTAACTTCTTATTCTTCAACTTCTTCTCTAATTTCATCATTTATCCTTTCTAGATTGAAGTTTTAAGATCCTGTCATATCCATTGATTTGTTCAGCATAACAACTGAATTTAGTGGTGCTTTAAATCAAAGTTCTCAGTGCTTAACAAACGTAAGAATATCCATTCGATTTTATTTAATTATCTATTATTTACAGAAATATATATAAGAACATCCATTCGATATATAAACCTTATTATTCTTACTTATTCACAAATGTCATATTCATCGGTTCACCAACCACCCATTTTTGAGATCTCTAAACTCGCTATTTCCTTTCATAACTTCTTATTCTTCAATTTCTTCTCTAATTTCATTCTTAATCCTTTCTAGATTGAAGTTTTAAGATCTTGTCATATCCATTGATTTGTTCGACTGAACTTAGTGGTGGTTTAAATCGAAGTTCTCGGCGCTTAACAAACGAAAGAATATCTATTCGATTTTATTTAATATCTATTATATATATTATCTTTCTAGTATCACACACCTAATAATACTCCTTATTCATTAAAATTGCCCTTAATTTATCATATATTATTTTTGTTAATTAGGTGTTTTGAAATGTTCCTAGCTATATTTTTATTGAATACTCTATCAAGAAAAACCCCATGCGTCGAAGAATGTATAGGCGAGGGGTTTTCAACCTTTTTTTTTTTGAAATAGCCAATAAGGATGATCACGAGCTTTAAATGCGTTTGCACAAAAAACACCTCATAGAAAATTCAAAAGAAAACTTTAGAAAAAAAAAAAATTCAAAATTCAAAAAGGTGGGGTCATAGCTTATACATATTGCATTAACAATTTAACACAGATAATAATATGTTTCAGGTACAAAACTCTCCCTTAGTAAAAACAAGCATAAAAAGGGGGATTGGCTTGGCACTCACTGAGTCACTGCAATCTTCTGGCTTCTTCGTCTCCTCTTACATAAACTTCCTTCTTCCTTTTTTATTTCCAGGTAAAAAACATCTCTTCATCTTGACGATTGTGTTTATGTAAACTTCACGTTTATGTACGTCTCTTGCTTGTTTTGTCTTTTCTTGACTGGTTTATTCGCATCTTAGGTCGCATCTTAACAATACTCCAGAAATGGATTCGAGCAGCAAGAGTACTCTTCTTCCAATGGCTCGGAAGGGCAACGGTTCCAAAGGACAGAAGATTCATCTTCTTACAAACCACTTTGAAGTCCACTTAACCAAACCAACCAGTCAATATTTCTTCCATTACGACGTACGTTTCCTCTACTGTTTTGTTCCCATATATCACTGCTTTGACGTAGTTACTAAAGTGGGATTTGTCTCTTTGATCTTTGAACACAGGTTGCTATCACGTATGAAGATGGCAGTCCGGTTGAAGCCAATGGCATTGGCAGAAAGATTCTTGATAACGTTGAAAAGAATTATCAAACTGATCTAGGTTCCAAACACTTTGCTTATGATGGCGAGAAGAATCTCTTCACTGTCGGTCCTCTTCCCAGCAACCAGCTAGACTTCACTGTTGTTCTTGTAGACATGTATTCGAGCAGAAATGCTGGGAACAACGATGGGGACAGTAAAAGATTAAGGCGTCCTAACCAATCCAAGAACTTCAAGGTCTCGCTCACCTTTGCAGCAAAAATCCCTGTCCGATCTATTGCTAATGCTCTTCAAGGAAAGGAAACAGATCATCTTCAAGATTCTACAAGAGTGGTGCTGGATGTTATCTTGCGCCATAACGCAGCTGGGAAGTAAGTAGAATTTTTCTACATATTAAATTCTTTGATCTTGCATTTTTTATTTGTTTTGTTGTTGTTGATGACTTGATGTTCATGTTGTTATATATTTGTTTTGAGCAGAAACTGCCTCCTAGTTCGGCAGTCTTCGTTTCACAATGATGCCAAGTTCTTCACCAACATTGGTGAAGGTGTCGACTGTTTGAAAGGCTTCCATGCGAGCTTTAGAACTACACAGGGAGGCTTATCCCTCAATATTGGTATTTCCCTTTTTTCATTGTTATGATTTTTAGTGTACATTAATTCAGATTGTAATTCTTTCTAACATTTTCTTTTTGTGTTTTTTATACAGATGTTACGAATACGTTGACAGTGACTCCTGGTCCTGTCCTCGAATTCCTTATTACAAATCAAGGTAGAGATGGAATCTCTATCGACTGGAAGAAGGTAACTGGAAGATATTGTAGGGTGTTTTAGCATAGTATATATATTTTGTGGTTGAAGTAATTAATTTTCTGGTTTTTTTTGGTGATTCTCAAATAGGCCAAAAGTACTCTTAGAAACCTCAGAATCAAAGTCGTCACGACAAATCTAGAGTACAAAATAACCGGACTAAGCGGACTACGCTGCAAAGATCAAACGTATGTTCTATGATCATATTCATATGTTTTAAATTACTTTGATTTGCTTATTAGTTACGTCTTTTATTTTATTATAATGATTTAGGTTTCTTTGGAAGCGAAAGAAAGAAAACGGGGAAGTTGAGGAGACTGAAATAACAGTGTTTGATTATTTTACTCAATTCCTTAAAATCAAACTGTATGACTCAGGTGACTTTCCTTGCATCAATGTTGGTAAACCAAAGCGTCCTACTTACATTCCCATTGAGGTATTGTTTTTACATTTTATTTATTTTGCTTCTAACTCACATTTTCATATTTAATGGCTTATGATGAATATACATGTTTGTTTGTTTTTTGTTAAAAACATTTGCAGCACTGTGAACTTGTTTCTCTACAACGTTATACAAAGGCTCTTAGCATATTTCAGAGGACTAACTTAGTCAACAAATCTAGACAGAGGCCACGAGAAAAGATGAATATGTTAACCAATGTAAGGTCTTTCGTTTTTCTGCTATTTACTCTGTCATATTTTATTAATATGATCTTGATTCATATTTTCAGGCTCTGGAGAGCAATAAATATAATGATGATTCAATGCTGAAAGAATGTGGTGTGAGAATTGGCTCTGAGTTCACTCGAGTGGAAGGCCGCATTCTACCAACACCAAATGTGATTCTTCTTGATTATATAGTATTCTCTTTCATTTTTGGTTATGGAAGATTTAATATGTTATAAATAATTCTTGTATCTTAATTCGAAAACAGCTTAAAGTGGGCAATGGAGCTGACATCTTTCCTAGAGATGGGCGTTGGAATTTCAACAATAAGGTCCCTTTTCTTCTGCATTAGCTTTTAAAATGTTAAAGTTCATAGTTGTTTGAATGCTTTTGATCCTAATCCAAAAAAAAATTCTGTAGCACTTTGCAGAGCCAGCTACAGTTACTAAATGGGCTGTTGTGAACTTCTCTGCTCACTGTGACCCGCATAGGATTGTTCATGATTTGGTCAGATGTGGAAGGGCTAAAGGAATTGTAAGTTTTTTTGTCTTTCTTTTCTCCAGAATCATTACTTATAATTATAAACTATAAACAATACCAATCTCATCAACTCTTCTTTGCTTTTCATCTCAGAACATGGATTATCCATTTGAAACCGTCTTCAAAGAAAACCCTAAGTTCAAGAATGCACCTGCTTCTGTAAGAGTTGAGAAGATGGTTGAACAAATGACATCGGGACTCCCAGGTGGAGGGAAACCAAATTTCATTCTTTGCATACTCTCTCAAAAGAAAAACTCTGATGTTTACGGTAACATTAAGCACTTAATTATATTTTCTTGACATGTACTAGCTTAGTCTGTATTCTTTTCTTTTCTAATATGATGACTGTCTTCTGTCTCTGAATAATTAATCTGTTTAGGTCCTTGGAAAAAGAAAATTCTTGTTGATTATGGAATCGTGACTCAGTGTATTGCTCCTGCCGGCAATGTAAACGATCAGTATCTCACAAATGTTCTCCTCAAGATAAATGTCAAGGTGATGATCATCTCTCTTTGGATAAATTACTTACAACTTTTTTACTTTGTAGTTTCTGATATAATTATTGATCTTAAATCTCTGAAAAATGTTTCTGTATAGCTTGGTGGATTGAATTCAGTGTTAGCTATAGAGAGGTCACTAGGGATCCCTTTGGTAATGAGAGTTCCTACCATCATTATTGGGATGGATGTATCTCATGGCTCTCCAGGACAATCTGATGTACCATCTATTGCTGCGGTACGTCACTTTGATTTTACTCTCTTTTTTTTTTTTGTCTTTTTGTTGTATTTTCTCATGTAAGCTGCTTATGGTTTGTTTTTTTTTGTTTTTTAATATTGTGGAAGGTTGTGAGCTCGAGAGAATGGCCATTGATCTCAAAATACAGGGCTTGTGTGCGTACACAGTCTCCTAAAGTCGAATTGATTGATAATCTCTTTAACCCTGTCTCTGGTACAACAAAGGATGATGGTATTATGAGGTAATAATAATTTTCAAGTTAATGACAAAATTGTTTTTATATAGGATTTTTATGAAAACGTAGTGTGATTAAAAGATTCAATGCTGTAAATTTACAGGGAGCTTTTGAATGACTTTAGGTCATGTTCTAATAGGAAACCCGAGCACATAATCATTTTCAGGTAATGCTTATATAATCTAGAAATTTTTGTGAAAATAATTTGATACATTTTTTTTTAACTCGGTTATAATAATAATATGTAGGGATGGTGTGGGTGAATCTCAGTTTAAGCAAGTTCTTAATATTGAGCTGGCTCAGATGATGCAGGTACTGATATGTTTTTTTTTTTTTTGGTTTTGCAACCTTTAGCTCTTCATATTTAGTTATATATGTATGTCGGACATTTATGGAGTTTATATTTTTACATTTTTTTTTACATTATTAGGCGTGCAAGTTCCTCGATGACACGTGGGATCCCAAATTTACAATGATCATTGCTCAGAAAAACCACCACACCAAGTTCTTCCAGGCCGATAAATCTGACAATAATGTTCCTCCAGGTTATGATTAATCCATTTTTGTAACTGTGGTTGTTTTGAATGGAAATGACCTAAAAAAAAAAATGTTTCATATATGTCATGCAGGAACAATAATTGATAGCAAGATCTGTCACCCACACAACAACGACTTCTTTCTTTGTGCTCATCGTGGATCGATGGTAAGTGATAAGTCTTAAGTTATTACTTATTACTTTGACAACTTTTTTCCGTATGTATATGGATGTATGAGAATAAAATGGATACCATTGACGTGTGACAGGGAACAACAAGGCCAGTACATTACCATGTGCTCTATGATGAAATCGGATTTTCGACAGATGAGCTCCAAGAACTTGTCCACTCTTTGTCCTATGTGTAAGCATCATTAAATCGGGTTTTACCTATTTTATCTGATGCATTCATACATGAATTCTCTATTATGAATTAGCTAGTACATTAACCTCTTTAATTTGTTTTGTTTGATACGTGTAGCTACCAGCGGAGCACAACTGCCGTCTCTCTAGGTAAGTTGTGTGATCACACTATCAGTAGTTTTAGATTTATGGACATATACAAGAAAACTGATTTTTGCTGTGAGACTAGAGTTCGATTTCGTTTATGATTAGTATTGAGCAATGATGATGAATGCATGATCAACATCTCAAACTATCCCTTTTGTTTTTTTGTTTTGTTTGCAGTTGCGCCCGTATATTATGCTCATTTGGCGGCTGCACAGATGGGAACTGTGATGAAATCTGAGGACTTGTTGGAGACTTTATCGAGCCACGATGGTGTCACGACATCTGGAGCAGTCTATGTGCCTCCAATGCCAAAGCTGAACGAGAGAGTTGCTACCTCAATGTTCTTCTGCTGAAAGTTAGCAGTTCACTTTTGCTTTTCTTGTTAACCAAGGAACTGAATTTGGTGTCATCATTTTCGTTTACTTTTCCTTTTAGCTTCTTGACTCAGTACGTTTTTGTTGGCGTTGGTTGGTTGGTCTCTGTTTTTAGATTTTAATGAATTTGCTATTTCAAGACTTGAGTTGCATGTTATGTTATTATTGACTAAAATTTCTTGGTCTTTAATTTTGATAATCATTTTTCATCTTGACCAATGTTTATGTAATGAGTGTTCACGTTAATGTTCAACTATTGCTTGCTCTTGACTAGGCTTATTCGCAATTTAGGTTGTATGCATGTCAGAATATGTTTACTAGTGGAGAAATGGATATTAATTTCGTGTGGAATTGGCCCATTGTTTGATAAGACCCACAGCTAGAAAAATAAATGGGCTCTTTACTATTATGAGTTTATAAAAAAACTTAGATCCTTCTTTAAGTTGAATAATTTGGGCACTTTTGTGTAAATAAAACTAAAAATTGAAACATTTTCTCCTTATTCACTGAAATTACCCTTAGTTTCTCATATATTATTATTTTTGTTGGATACATGTATTTAAATGTTCGTAACTAGATTTATATTGAATACTCCATTTGGAAAAATATTTTTTTATATATGGAGATAAACAATATTTAGGGGAAGAGTATCCTACACCTAAAGAAAGATAGGAAGAACAAAGCATACCAAAAAAAAAAAAGATAGGAAGAACAAATGTCAATGTATTATTCAAGAAAATTCCATGCGTCGACGAACATATATAGGAGTTTTCAACCTTTTTCTGAAATATATTTATCCTGATAAGGATGATGACGAGCTTTTTACCACGTTTGCACATCAACGAAACTTCCTAGAGAATTCAGAAGAAGAAAGGTGGGGTCATAGCTGTATACGCCTGTATATTTCTATGTTATTGCAACAGTAATAACAGTGCTCGTAAGCCAAAACTCTTTTGCCTCCCTTAGCAAAAAAGCATAAATAGGCTCAAAGAATAGTTTGGCTTCTTCACTCGCTGCACATCGTTGTGATCTTTTGGGGCCTCCTCTTACATAAACTTGCTTTCTTCTTTTTTTTTTCTCTCCGGTAAAAAATTTCTCTTCATCTTGACGATTGTTTACGTATCATTTTTTCTTGAATCTTAGGTTGTATAGTAGAATATGTTTAATTTTTTTTTTTTTTTTTTTTTTTTTTTTTTTTTTTTTGTAAAAGAATATGTTTAATTTGTTGAAATATGTATAAGAGAAATTTGGTTTTCTAACAACGGTATATGCTTCTTGGTCTCTTCCTTTCATGAATAAATGAGCCTCTGTGTTGATAAGCTAATATGGATTCGAGATTTGTTTGTTGTTGTTTGAAATTTGAGATTTATATTTTAAAGATTCACTAGTTTTTAATTTAACCTTGTTAAGAATCTCTTAACACAACAAAATATATATATTCTTAAGCATCTTCTAATTCTTCATACTCAAAAATTTGTTAAAAATTAGGTTGACACACTAGTGAAGACTTAGAAGATGCTTAGATCTCCTGAAGTTTGTTATAAATTCTGACCTAACGGTGTTTTACTATTCCAGAAATGGATTCGAGCAGCAAGCGTACTCTTCTTCCGATGTCTGGGAGTGGCAACGGTTCCAAAGGACAGAAGATTCATCTTCTTACTAACCACTTTAAAGTCGACTTCACCAGACCAAACAGTCGATATTTCTACCATTACAACGTAAGCTTCTCCTACTTTCTTCTACATGTCTTCTTCTTCCCATCATTGCTTTGACGTTGGGATCTGTCTATTTGATATTTGAACACAGGTTGCTATTACGTATGAAGATGGCAGTCCAGTTGATTCCAAGGGTGTTGGCAGAAAGATTCTTGATAACGTTAAAAATAATTATCCAACTGATTTAGGTTCCAAACACTTTGCTTACGATGGCGAGAGGAATCTCTTCACCATCGGTGCTCTTCCTAGCCCCCAGCTAGACTTCTCTGTTGTTCTTGTAGACATGTATTCTAGCAGAAATGCTGGGAACAACGATGGGGACAGTAAAAGATTAAGGCGTCCTAACCGATCCAAGAACTACAAGGTTTCAATCACCTTTGCTGCAAAAATCCCAATCCAAGCTATTCAAGGAAATGATACAAATCACTTTCAAGAAGCTATAAGAGTGCTGGATGTCATCTTGCGCCATAACGCAGCTAGACAGTAAGTCAAATTTTCTACATATTAATTATATTTGATCTTGCTTGTTTTTTTTTTTTTTTTTTTTTAAATTATTTATTTTGATGTTCATGTTGTATATATTTGTTTTGCGCAGAGGTTGCCTCCTTCTTCGTCAGTCATCATTTCACAATGACGCAAAATTCTTCACCAATATTGGTGAAGGTGTCGACTGTCTCAAAGGCTTCCATGCGAGCTTCAAAAATACTCAAGGAGGCTTAGCCCTCAATATTGGTATTTCCTTTTTCATTAGATTATTTTTAGTGTACATTAATTCAGATTTATCTTCTTTCTAACATTTTATTTTTGTTTTTTATACAGATGTTACGAATACCTTGACAGTGACTCCTGGTCCTGTCCTCGACTTCCTCGTTGCAACCCAAGGTAGAGATAGAATCTCTATCGACTGGAAAAGGGTACGTGGAAGATTTTGCATGGTGTTTTAGCATAGTATATTTTCGTAGTGAAGTAATTAATTATCTGACTTTTTTTTTGGTGTTTCTCAATAGGCAAAAAGTACTCTTAGAAACCTCAGAATCAAAGTCGTCACGACAAATAGAGAGTACAAAATTACCGGACTAAGCGGACTACGCTGCAAATATCAAAAGTATATTCTTTGATCATATTCATATGTTTTAAATTACTTTGATTTGCTTATTAGTTACATCTTTTATTTTATTTTATTTTGATGTTTTAGGTTTCTTTGGAAGCGAAAGAACGAAAACGGGGAAGTTGAGGAGGATGAGATTACAGTGTATAATTACTTCACTCAATTCCTTAAAATCAATCTGGATGAGTCAGGTGACTTTCCTTGCATCAATATTAGTAAGCCCAATCGTCCTCCTACTTACATTCCGATTGAGGTAACTTCTCTTTTCTTTTTTTTTGTTCTTTTCCCAACTCACATTTTCATGCTTATAATCGTCCTACTTACATCAATGTTTTTTTTTTAACATTTCCAGCACTGTGAGCTTGTTTCTCTACAACGCTATACAAAGGCTCTTACCATTTCTCAGAAGACTAACCTAGTCAACAAATCTAGACTAAGGCCACAAGAAAATAGGAATATGTTAACCAATGTAAGGTCTTTAATTTTTCTATCTAATTATTATCTTTTTTCATATTTTATTTATATCATAAAGTTTCATATATTGCAGGCACTGGGGAACAATAAATATAATGAAGATCCAATGCTGCAAGAATGTGGTGTGAGAATTGGCTCTGAGTTCACTCGAGTGGAAGGCCGCATTCTACCAACACCAAATGTGATTCTTCTTAATCATATAGTATTCTCTTTCATTTTTGAAATGTTTATTAATACTTCTTGTCTCTTAATTCGAAAATAGCTAAAAGTGGGCAACGGAGATGACATATTTCCTAGAAATGGACGTTGGAACTTCAACAATAAGGTCATCTTTCTTCTGCATTAAATGTTTGAAAACTCTCTTTCTAATACTAATTCAAGATTCCTTGTGTAGAAAATTGCTGAGCCAGCCACAGTCACTAAATGGGCTGTTGTGAACTTCTCTGCTCAGTGCGAGCCGCATAAGATTGTTCGTGATTTGGTCAGATGTGGAAAATCAAAAGGAATTGTAAGCTTTTCTTTCTTTCTTTCTTTCTTCAGGATCATTACTTAAACTATAAAGAAATTTAATCACAAGAAACTCTTCCTTAATTGGTTTCTCTTTGCTTTTTTTTTTTTTTAATCTCAGAACATAGATTTTCCATTTCATACTGTCTTTGAAGAAAACCCTAAGTTGAAGAATGAACCTGCTTCTGTAAGAGTTGAGAAGATGGTTGAACAAATGACATCGGGACTCCCAGGTGGAAAGCATCAAAAAACCGCCCAAATTTCATTCTTTGCATACTCTCTCAAAAGAAAAACTCTGATGTTTACGGTAACATTAAGCACTTATATATTACTTGAAACCTAGTCGGTTTCTTTTCTCATAATTAATGACTGTCTCTTAATAAACTTATCTCTATTAGGTCCTTGGAAGAAGAAAATTCTTGTTGAATTTGGAATCGTCACGCAGTGTTTTTCTCCTCCCAACAATGTCAACGATCACTATCTCACAAATCTTCTCCTCAAGATAAATGTCAAGGTGATGATGATCTCTTTGAACTTTTTTACTTTGTAGCTTCTGATATAATAATGATTTTAAAATCTCTAAAAAAAACATTTATGTATAGCTTGGTGGATCGAATTCACTGTTGGCTGTGGAGCGGTCACGAGGAATGCCATCTGTAATGAGAGTTCCAACCATGATTATTGGGATGGATGTATCTCATGGCTCCCCACTGTCTGATGCACCATCAATTGCCGCGGTAACATACTGAATTTTTCTTTTGTCTTTGTGTTATATTTTCATGTAAGCTACTTATGATTTTGATTTTTATATTTTTTTTGGGAAGGTTGTGAGCTCGAGAGAATGGCCACTGATCTCAAAATACAGGGCTTGTGTGCGTACACAGTCGCCTAAAGTTGAATTGATTGATAATCTCTTTAACCCTGTCTCTGAGAAAGATGATGATGGTATTATGAGGTAATAATAATTTTCAAGTGAATGACAAAATTGTTTTTATATAGGATTTTATGAAAACGTAGTGTGATTAAAAGATTCAATGCTGTGAATTTACAGGGAGCTTTTGTATGACTTTAAGTCATGTTCTAATAGGAAACCCCAGCACATAATCATTTTCAGGTAATGCTTATATAATCTAGAGATTCTTGTGAAAGTAATTTAAGACAAAATTAATTTCTAACACAACTTGAATAATCAATAATATATACATGTAGGGATGGTGTGAGTGAATCTCAGTTTAACCAAGTTCTTAATATTGAGCTGGATCAGATGAAGCAAGTAAGGGTTTTTTTTTTTTTTTTTTACCTTTTAAGCTCTTAATATATATAGCATATGTTGGACATTTATGGAGTTACAATTTTTTTTTTGTATATTTGGTTACATTATTAGGCGTGCAAGTTCCTCGAGGAGGCATGGCATCCCAAGTTTACAGTGATCATTGCTCAGAAAAACCACCACACCAAGTTCTTCCAGACCCGTAGACCTGATCAAAATGTTGATCCAGGTTATAATTAGTCCATTTTTGTAACCGTGACTAGTTTTTGATTTATGTTTGTTGGTGTTATTGAAATGACCTAAAAAAAACTGTTTCGTATATTGCATGCAGGAACAATAATTGACACCAAGATCTGTCACCCACTCAACAACGACTTCTTTCTTTGTGCTCATGCTGGAATGATGGTAAGTGACAAGCCAAAACAATGAATCGAACAAAAACTTAATTAAAAACGTTTCTGATGTGTAACAAACTGGATGCGATTATCTTGTGGTAGGGAACAACAAGGCCAGTGCATTACCATGTGCTGTACGACGAGGTTGGGTTTTCCACAGATGACCTCCAAGAACTTGTCCACTCTTTGTCCTATGTGTAAGCATTAAATTAGTTTTACCTTTTTTATCCAATACATTAATTCTCTTTATTGAATTGACCTAATAACCTCTTTAATTTGTTTTGGTTTGATACTTGTAGCTTCCAGCGGAGCACAACTGCCATCTCTGTAGGTAAGTTGTGTGATCACACTATCAGTAGTTTTAGATTTATGGACAAGTACAAGAAACTGATTTGCTGTGAGACCAGAGGTTGATTTCGTTTATGATTGGTATGGAGACATGCATGATGCAACATCTCAAATTCCTTTGTGTTTTGCAGTTGCGCCGGTACGTTATGCTCATTTGGCGGCTGTGCAGATGGGAAGTGTGATGAAATCTCAGGACTCGTCCGTGGCTTCATCGAGCCATGTTGGTGTCACGACTTCTGGAGAAGTCCCTATGCCTCTCATGCCAAAGCTGAACGAGAGAGTTGCTACATCAATGTTCTTCTGCTGAAAGTTCGCTTTAGTTAACAAACGAACCAAAATTGCTGTTATGATTTTCGTTGAGCTTTTCGTTTTCGCTTCTTGACTCTGTTTTTGTTGGCGTTGGTTGGTCTTTTTTTTAAAAGATTTTAGTAATGGAATTTGCTATTTCAAGATTTGAGTTGCATTTTATTATTGGCTAAGATTATGTGTTGTTGTCTTGTCGCATAGAAAAGCATAAAAAGCGAAAGAATTTACGTGCCAACTTTTCTTGGTCTTTTAATATGATCCTTTTACATCTTGAGTTCTTGACCATTGTTTATGTAATAAATCTTCACGTTAATGTTCAGCATGTCGAGGGGAATCGCTAAAGCACATGCATCTGTATTTTCTATTGGTGTTGAAACAGGCCCGGCCCAAAGAAAAATTTAAACCTCGTGCTGGAAAAGGGTTATATACAGTAGTTAACATTTAAATCTTTTGAGATTATTACAAAACTTTAGGCTCTTGAAAACTAAATAAGAGTTTCAGAATAAGAATTGAACTTCAGGAAGTTTAGTTAACTTCTTGAAAACTCGCACGAAAGTTATGCATTTCCAATCATTTATTTGAAATGTTAAGAATATCCCATTCAATTTTATTTAGTACTCTTGCTATACCTTTATCTAGTACCATACACCTACTTAACTTATCAACAGCAATACATGTTTTTTTTCTCCTTCCTTAATTTATTATATATTTTGTTGTTGTTAGATACATGTATTCAAATGTTCGTAACTAGATTTATATTCAATACTCTATTTGGAAGATATGATAACAAATATTCAGGGGAAGAGTATCCTACGAAGATAGGAAGAAATTTGGTCAAAAAAAAAAGATAGGAAGAACAAATGTCAAAGATATTATTCAAGAAAATTCCATGCGTGGAAGAATGTATAGCAGAACTCTTCAACCTTTTTTGTTAATATATCTAGCCTGTATTCCTATCATAGGCTAAAGAATAGATATTTCTATGTTACTATGTTAAAATATCTTAGCCTGTATTTCTATGATAATGCACTAGTAATAACAGTGCACGTAAGCGAGAGTTTGTCTCCCTCCCTAAGTAAAAAAAAAGCATAAATAGGCTAAAGAATAGTTTGGCTTCCCCACTCAGGTCTCTCTCATCTTCGAGGGCATCTTTCATAAACTTCCTTCTTCTTCTTTTTTTTTTTTTTTTTCTTTAAATTTTTTAGATAAAGGGTTAGATTTATATTCTTTCGAACATTTTGTTTGTTTTGTTTTTGGTTTATTAAGATGTTTCTGATACGATGATAGTAAATTCTGGTCATGTTCTTGACTTCCTTATTACAAACCAAGGTCATAGTGTGCGAGATGGAATCTCTATTGACTGGAAAATGTACTTAGAAGAATTTGCATGGTGTTTTAGCATAGTATATATTTATGGTGAAGTAACATACTTGTTCCTCATTTAGGCAACAAAGTACTTTTGAGAATCTTAGAACTAAGTCATCACATCAAACATAGAATACAACATAAATAGACTGAGCAGACGTTTGATCTTTGCAGCATAAACCACTTAGTCCGGCTATCTTGTATTCTCTGTTTGAGGTGATGATGTTGATTCTAAGATTCCTGAGAGTACTTTTTGCCTATTTGAGAAACACCAAAAAAACACAGACAATTAAGTCCTTCACCACAAAAATATACTGTGCTAAAACACCGTTAAAATTCTTTTAATTCAGTACCTTTTTCCAGTCGATAGAGATTCCATCTCTACCTTGATTTGCAACAAGGAAGTCGAGTACAGGACCAGGAGTCACTGTCAACGTATCTGTAACATCTGCATAAAAAACCAAAAATAAAATGTTAGAAAGAATTTAAATCTGAATTAATGTACACTAAAAATCATAACAATGAAAAAGGAAATACCAATATTGAGGGATAAGCCTCCGGCTCCCTGTGTGTTTTTGAAGCTCGCATGGAAGCCTTTCAAACAAAAAAATATATACACCATTGAAAAATAGAGTATCGATCGCTCACGCATAGCACTGTAGATTCCATGCATTGTTAGGGATAATAGTGCACCAATCACCAATTTCTCGATTTTCATCTTTCTTGGTAAAAAGGAGAAATAATCTATATACCAAATTTTCTTAGCCATTAATGTGGATCATCATTATTCATCTTGACCATTGTTTATGTAATAAAAGTTCCCGTTCATATTCATGTTCTTGCTTTTTCTTCACTAGTTTATTCACATCTTAGTTTGTATGTCAGAATATGTGATAGATCCATTCCCTGTTGACTGGAACAAGGATGTATTTAAAATTTTCACAGATGCCTTAATGCTAAACGTAGTCACCCCCTGGAATCGAGAATACAAGATCATCATTGGACAAAGTGGACTGCACTGCAAAGATCAAATGGTGTCATGATTTTCTTTGAACTTTTTTAGTTCACTGGCTCTGTTTTTGTGGGCGTTGGATGGTCTCTGTTTTAGATTTAGATAGTAGTAACAACACCACTACATGTTCCGAAAATTTCGAAACTACTATGGCATGTTAAACATGTAATACACGAACAGAAGAATACAAATGACACTAAAAAGTGAAAGATTTGTACCTACATATATCATAGAGTTAGGATTATATTTCAAAGTAGTACACAAACCCTTTGCGAAAACTGGCAAGAAAAAAAATACAGAAAAGCAACTATATACCCCCCTCTATGGTTATTAACCTGAGAAAATGCATATTGAGGCTCTCTCTAGGTGGTTCTTTGTCGAACATGTCTGCTGGTTGTATCTCCACCGCCATCAGAAAGTTGGCCCCACACACTCTGCGACTTGGCTCCTCCGGTACTGTTGCTGCTGCCTTCCTCGTAACCAGCCACCGCCTTCAGAAGCTCCGACTGGAGTGTCAGACATTCATCCTTCAGCTGTTGGTACCCATCTGTCTCCAGCACAGCTGCAATGTTTTAAGCACACAACACAAGATCCATTATACACCTTGGTATGCATATACACATATAAAAGCATATCCAAAACCAGATTTTCTACTAATAATTGCAATGTTAAATGCGATGCAGAAACATACCTGCTAGGTTCTCGGCAGTAAATTTAAGGCAAACGCTTTTTAGTTCCTTAGCATTATATTTATCGGCCAAAGCTAAGATCTTGGCAACGGATTTGACTGCTACGCCTTTGCATATGTGAGATTCACACAACAGCCTGAGCCTATTCAGCTCGTACTTGTCGGCTGCTGCTAAAAGCTTTACAATCAATGTCTCGTATATTTCAGGCAGCTTCAAGAGGTCAAATGTATGTGTTGTCACAGGCTCCACAGCTTCCGGAAGACAGTCTTTATACATGAATTGTAGCAAAGCCTGGAAAAGGGGAAAGAGCATGTTTTACAAGCACGATCTAAAACATACAAACAAGCCAAGAGTTAATTAAACAATTGATGTACCTTGAAAACCTTAGGTTCCACATCGTTGATCGTGACCTCTGTATTCTCTGCTTCAAGCTCATTGAAAAGTTTCGACTTGAAAAACGGAGATCGAGCAGCCAGTACTAGTTTATGAGCCGGAAATTTCTCGCCAGCAATGTCAAAAGTGACATCAGAACCTTCCATGCTATCCAGTAAAACTCCGAAATGTGATCCAAGTTCTGAATCAGGGACGGGAACAGAGTGTAACCGCGGGCAGTGTATTTCTGAAACCACAACTCCAACCGTGCAATTGATTTTCAAGCAATCGTCTTTGAGGAAGTCAGATGACTCAAGCAAGTTTCTTCTGAAGAAACGCTTGTATCCCCTAATCAAACCACAATGAATAGAAGAGAATTAGAGGAGCTTAAGGTACTAATCACGTATAAGCCAAGAAGAAAACTTATCCAACAAACGCCACCTAACACGAATTGTTAAACTATTTCGATAACCATCGATTGTAATCAGGAAAATCTAGAATCATGAGCAATGAGCACAAACAAGCAAGGAGCCAAAGGAAGGTGAAAATCGTACCACATGCTTCCACGGTATTTGAGGGTGTAAGGCCCACTGTCAAGTGACCGTTCGAAATGGCTATGAACCTTGTGGTTTCCCTTGCCGCTCTGGTCAACAAGAGCGAGCTCGAAAAGCGCCCTGACTTCGGTGCCTTCGCTGGCCAATGCGATGAAGACGGAGACGTACGACGAGTTATCCTCCGGATTCTTACCGTCAGGGTAGAAGAAGATCCCCCACTGGTAGCCTCCGACGGAGAAGTTCTCACTCGCTATGTGCTTCCCAACACCCATCCCCTTGGCTAAGCTGTAACCTTGTATCACGAATTGATGCGAACCGTTCACCGTCTGCGTCACCGATTTCGAGATCGTCGGCGATTGAATCCGATCTGGATTCGATCCCGGAATCAGTGATCCAGACATCGCCTTGAGAATTCGCCGCTAATTTTAGTGCTGTTGTAGAGAAGCTCCCATAAGAAAGACAAAAAAATTCGCTGTTAGCTGAATCGATTTGCAGAAACGAGATTTTTAGGGTTCTGAATTTCAATTTGGATGATTTTATTTGTTTCAGACCGTTTAAAGAGAAAAATCGCAAGAGGGAAGTGAAACAGAACGTCTCCAGTCGTATAAACTTACCAATTTTGATCAGAAAAGAGCTAAAAATGGTGTTTGGATGTCGGTTTAAACCTAATCCCCCCATCGTTTAAAGTCATACCTATCCCTACTGCCAAACAAGCAGTCAACTTTGCTCTCAGCCTCTCTCTCTCTCACCGTCTCCTTCCGAGTTTCATTGGTCCTCACCGTCGCCTCTCTATTAAACAGTGAAAAAATGGATGGTCATGAAGGTTGTTGTGGCAGCTCTGAAAAGATGGAGATGATACCGATGGAGGAAGCTCTAAGTATAGTACTCGGCGTCTCAAAGCGGCTGCCTCCGGTAGCCGTATCGCTGCAGGAAGCACTTGGGAAAGTATTGGCGGAGGATATTCGTGCTCCTGATCCTCTCCCTCCATATCCCGCTTCCGTCAAGGTGAATAGCATTCAAACCTAAAAATGAACGATTTTTGGAGATTGATTTGGTCAGTCCATTGTTGAACATTTCTGAATCGTTATGCTATTGTGAGATTGATTGTGCTTGAGAGCGAGATTTGATTTGATTACGTTGGAAATTTGACAAATAGGAGATGAAAATGGTAAGCTGGTGATGAGTACTAGAGCGAATGCTTGATATTGTTGTTATTTGATGTTGGTTAGGATGGGTACGCGGTTGTTGCATCAGATGGACCTGGAGAGTACCCAGTGATTACAGAATCAAGAGCTGGGAATGATGGACTGGGTGTCACTGTTACTCCTGGAACTGTGGCTTACGTAACAACTGGTGGTTAGTATATTGCATTCGATGAAAAATCTCTTACTGGTGATTTATCGTTTGCTCATATGAGAAATATTATAACTTATGTGATTTAAGATTAAGCCGTTTCTTGGATCTCAACCTATTCTTTTCGTTGATGTGTTTCTCTTTAGGACCTATACCTGATGGTGCCGATGCAGTTGTCCAAGTTGAGTACACTAAAGTAATTGGAGATGATACGACTGATTCAAAAAGAGTTAGCATACTGATTCAAACCAAGAAAGGCACCGACATCCGTAGAGTGGTATGGTTTCTTCTTTTCCGCTTTTATAATCAGTACTGTAGTTGATATCTTTGGTTTCCTTTAGCTATGTCTGTTTGCTAAATAGGTGTAGTATCATGGTTTTCTCTTTATAGTACTGCTATTTGTTGATCTAAGAAAACGTTAGGTTGCATGTGAGATCGGATGTCAAATGAATTAACGTTTGATGGTTAATTCAATTGTTTGACTTGATCAAGGATTCCGTAATATTCATTCAATTTATATGCTAGGGCTGTGATATTGAGAAAGATGCAACGGTACTAAAAACTGGGGAAAGGATTGGTGCCTCAGAAATTGGCTTGCTAGCAACTGCAGGAGTAACCTCGGTGAAGGTATTTCTGTCTACCAGTTTTTATCTTAGCAAACTTACTTGAGGATGTGTCCAGAAACTGAGAAATGAACTTCCTTGTAGGTATATCCGATGCCAACAGTTGCTGTTCTCTCTACTGGGGATGAACTTGTCGAGCCGACAGCCAAGACTTTAGGTCGTGGTCAGGTATTATTCAGAACTAAGATTTCTGATATTTATGCCTGTATATTACTTGGAAAGGTTATTGGACCTCATTATTACTTTAGTGGCTAAAGAATGCGCTCTCTGTAGATTAGAGACTCAAACCGAGCAATGTTAGTGGCAGCGGTGATGCAGCAGCAATGTAAAGTTGTTGACCTTGGAATCGTTAAAGATGAAAGAAAGGAACTTGAGAGAGTCCTGGATGAGGCAATATCCTCTGGAGTCGATATTATTTTAACTTCTGGTGGTGTTTCAATGGGAGACAGAGATTTTGTCAAGCCAATACTCAAAGAGAAAGGGAAAGTACATTTCAGCAAGGTAAAATATGCAGTATAAGTTTCCTCAATCCCCTAGGTGAAGTTATTTATTCTCTGCTTATAAGTAGAAGTGTTGGCTTCCGACTCTACTGTTTGATTTCTCCATTCAAGCTCGGCAAGTTGACAATGTTTAGTTAATATAAATATTGAACTGAGAAGGTTTTAAAACTAAATTTTGTTTCAGGTATTGATGAAACCTGGGAAACCTTTGACGTTTGCTGAGATCAGTGTGAAACCAACTAACAGTATGATGGATAAAACAGTTCTTGCATTTGGATTACCAGGAAATCCTGTAAGCTGTTTGGTTTGTTTCAATCTCTTTGTTGTGCCTACGATCCGCCAGCTTGCAGGATGGACAAGCCCCCATCCACTCAGGTTACTGAAGTTTGCATGATATTTTCTCCTCCAAATGAACTTTTTTATTTTGATCATTAATGAAAGGGTAAATTGCCGTCTAATATTTGTTCAGAGTGCGTGCTCGGCTTCAGGAGCCCATAAAGTCTGATCCTATCCGTCCTGAGTTTCATCGGGCCATCATCAAATGGAAAGAGAACGATGGATCAGGGACTTCCGGGTGAGTTTTTAATAACCATGTCTGCTTTTGAGTCGAAAACTTAGCTGGATCTTCCTAGATTTGCTTGAAAGTTAGCATTACATGTTACCATCTTAACAGAGTAATAATATATTCCTGGATGTCAGATTTATTGCTGAGAGCACGGGACATCAGATGAGCAGTCGGCTTTTAAGTATGAGGTCGGCTAATGCTTTGCTGGAGTTGCCTGCTACGGGCAATGTGCTTTCTGCTGGAACTTCTGTATCAGCTGCAATCGTTTCGGATATCAGTGGCTTCTCTGTAGACAAGACAACGTCATTAACAGAACCAGAGTCTATTAAAAAAGAAAAAAAGTACGATGAAGTACCCGGGCCTGCATATAAAGTGGCTGTTCTTACCGTCAGTGATACTGTCTCAGCTGGGGCTGGACCTGATCGAAGGTATGATTACTGTCAAACTTTATTGATTCACCCTGTCGGTTTTCTCTCTCAATTTGGCATAATCGATGCAAATATTAGTAATTTAGAGTCGATGATCTTCTCAGCGGTAGTTAAAAGGAGTAACTTCTGAAAACTCTCGAACAGTGACTTACTTAATTATCTTTGATTGAGAAAAAGTGCATCTAGATACATCTCTCCAGTTCGTTATTCTGGTGAGGTCACTAATTCGATGCCATAGTAAAACTGCACAGTGATAATGCTCCTTGTCATAGTGAGACATGGAAGCATATCAGTGTTTTGCTACATCTTATAGGTTAAAGCTAATCTCGATGCCATTCCTCACTTTGAGTACTCAGACCCTTTCCTCTAGTTCATAGAGTATTTTTCGTTCACTTCAAATTTTGGTGCTATCAATTAAATCCATTTATTTCATAATACATTGTCTTTGATTGCTTTGTGTGTGCTGGTGTAGTGGGCCCAGGGCTGTATCAGTGGTTGATTCCTCGTCTGAAAAACTGGGAGGAGCTAAGGTGGTTGCTACAGCTGTTGTCCCCGATGAAGTGGAAAGAATCAAAGAAACTCTCCAGAAATGGAGCGATGTTGACGAAATGGATCTCATCCTTACACTTGGTACACCAGCATTCGGTTACTTATCATAGATTTGTTGTTGTATTTGAATCATATTTTTGATAGACGTAACTTCTTGCGAACTAGGTGGTACCGGCTTCACTCCGAGAGATGTAACACCTGAAGCAACAAAACAGGTGATTGAGAGAGAAACGCCCGGTCTTCTCTTTGTTATGATGCAAGAGAGCTTAAAGGTAAATTCTAAACCAAACCAATCCTAAAATGGAATTGAGCTTTTCAATACTGTCATCTGATTCTGTTTCCTTCTGTCTGTGAGCAGATCACACCATTTGCGATGCTCTCACGCTCTGCAGCAGGAATTAGAGGCTCAACATTGGTACAAATCTCTTAACTTTCACATTTGTACACTCTCTTAAGTTCCCATCACTCACCTTTGTAAGCTTTTTTTTGGACTCTTTAGATAATCAACATGCCTGGGAACCCAAACGCAGTTGCCGAGTGTATGGAGGCTCTGTTACCAGCGTTGAAACACGCACTGAAACAGATCAAAGGAGACAAGAGAGAGAAACATCCGAAGCACATACCTCACGCAGAAGCCACCGCACCGACTGATACATGGGACCGAAGCTTTAAGTCAGCCTACGAGGTAGTAGGAGAGATGAAAGATGATGGTGGCTGTTCTTGTACCCACTGAAACTTTCCACACAGTGAATTTAGCCTCTGCACTGGTGTGACTGTAAAACTTTTGAGGAGTTTTGTTGTTTACAGAGTTACATGAAACCTAACTAAATGGTGCGTAAGGCGTTGCTGTAATTTTGTAATAAGGTCTACTTTGTATAAAAATGGCAAAATAAATTGTGTTACGAATATAAACATACTAGCAAACACACATAAATATCAACTGTTGAATACGCTAAATTATTTTCAGATTGGATTACTGACTGGTAAATTTTGTCTGGTTCATACAGTTTGATGCTAGAATCATTTTTGACAATGTATAGGTGGATTTATGTAATATAATTAAATTATATAAAACCTGGGAAACGAAAATCAAATAGTTATGTGAGTCTCCTCCTTCCACGGACACAGTGAACAGAGAAATAGGAGCAAGCTCGTTTGAAAAGGAAGCTATAAAAAATGGGTCAGCTCGCTCTTCAGAGACTCCCGCCGTTGGCTTCGGTTCCAAAACGCCCTCCTTCTCTCCCGCCACCGTCTTTGGCTTCGCCGTCCCTCGCTTGCGCAACCGTCTCTCGCCGCCCCCTCCGCAACGGATTATACATCGCCAGGTTTCCTTCTCTTTCCCTCCGATTTTTTCGTCCTCTTCTGTTTCCTCCTTTACTCTATTGCTTCTCTCGTGTTGCTGTGAATTTTGAATTCACAAATTCAATTAAAGATAGATTTTGCTTTTATTAACCTGTGATTTGTATCAGCAGCATCCAATTTTTTTTTGGATGTTGTGTTGTTTTATATGTTTACATTCATGAATATTCCACTAATCAGGTTTGTCTCTTGTTTGTGACAATAATAGAGCAATGTCGTCCCACATTGTTGGATATCCCCGAATTGGGCCAAAGAGAGAGCTCAAATTTGCATTGGAATCCTTCTGGGATGGCAAAACCGGCGTTGACGAACTGCAAAATGTTGCAGCTGACCTGAGAAAATCCATATGGAAACATATGGCTGATGCAGGAATCAAGTATATTCCAAGCAATACTTTTTCATACTATGATCAGATGTTGGATACCACAGCGATGCTTGGAGCTGTTCCCTCTAGATATGGTTGGGAAAGTGGTGAGATCGGGTTTGATGTTTACTTCTCCATGGCACGAGGAAATGCTTCTGTTCCTGCTATGGAAATGACCAAGTGGTTTGATACGAACTAGTAAGTATATATGAATCCTCTTTCTTCCCTGTTTTTTTGTAAAGTTTCTTTCTTTTTGATAATGCTGATAGATAGATGCATTTAACAGCCATTACATTGTTCCTGAGTTGGGTCCTGATGTCAAATTCTCATATGCATCTCACAAGGCTGTGGCTGAGTTTAAGGAGGCCAAAGCAGTAAGTTGATTGGAACCATTCTCACTTAGAAAAAAAAGCTTTTTCTGTTTTCGATAGTGTTGGTTTTTCTTTTGTAATTTTTCTTCAGCTGTCCTGTTTTTGTCCCAAGGTTCTTATTCATGGCTGTTCATGGCACAGCTTGGCATTGACACAGTTCCGGTGCTCATTGGTCCCATGACCTACTTGCTCCTGTCAAAACCAGCAAAGGGTGTTGAAAATTCATTCTGCCTTCTTTCTCTGATTGACAAGATTCTCCCTATCTACAAGTAAGAAATATATCGAGGCCAGATTTGAGGCTTTTAGAAATTAGCTAGACCAAAATAAACTCTAAAGGTTACAATTTCATTTTGATAGTGTTCGAAGCCTTAACTGGTGTCTTGTGGCATTTGTTTTGCCAGAGAAGTTTTGGCTGATCTCAAATCTGCTGGTGCGCGATGGATTCAGTTTGATGAGCCAATACTTGTAATGGATCTTGACACCAGCCAGTTGCAGGCCTTTTCCGATGCCTACGCTCACATGGAGTCATCCTTGGCGGGCTTGAATGTTCTTATTGCCACATACTTTGCAGATGTTCCTGCTGAAGCATATAAGACATTAACGTCTTTGAAATGTGTAACTGGGTTTGGATTTGACCTCGTTCGTGGATTGGAGACTCTTGAGTTAATCAAGGTGGGTTTTCCTCGGGGGAAGCTGCTATTTGCTGGAGTTGTTGATGGAAGGAACATTTGGGCGAATGATCTTTCTGCTTCACTCAAGACACTACAGGCTCTTGAAGACATTGTTGGAAAAGGTGTTAGTAAACAACATTTTAATTGATTGCTTTCACTTCTCTTTCCTGCTTGGATTCAGAATGATGTAAACCCTTCTCTTCGCTTTGCAGAAAAAGTCGTGGTTTCTACTTCTTGCTCTCTACTCCACACGGCTGTGGACTTGGTGAATGAAATTAAACTTGATAAAGAACTGAAATCGTGGCTTGCATTTGCTGCACAAAAGGTCGTTGAAGTGAATGCACTTGCCAAATCATTCTCTGGAGTTAAGGATGAGGTAAGTCTTTGCGTATTGCATTATGCACAACTGTTATCCCACGACAAAAGTGATCAGCTTAAAACATATGTTTGTATGACTACAACAACATCGATGTCCAATGGCTTTTACCTGATAGCATGGCTCATTGCTAGAACTTTGCGTTTATTTGATACGGAAATAACTAACCTTTGGCTTTGTATTGTCTTGGTCCCTTTGCAGGCATTGTTTGCTTCTAATTCCATGCGTCAAGCTTCTAGAAGATCATCTCCAAGGGTGACAAATGTATCTGTACAACAGGATGTAAGGGTTTTCTAACAAATTGCTCTTCCACATTTTGTACCCTGGACTTATTATTTTAATTACTTTCTTGCTCAGGTTGCTGCAGCTTTAAAGAAATCTGATCACCGCCGTTCTACAGTAGTAAGTGTTAGGCTACAAGCCCAGCAGAAGAAGCTAAACCTTCCTGCTCTTCCAACAACTACAATTGGATCTTTTCCTCAGACTGCAGATATCAGACGGATACGCAGGGAATTCAAGGCCAAAAAGTAGGCCTATCTAATCCGATGATGTATCTTGAAAAATTCTAACATGTGACTGTTCTAATACTCATGCATCCCTTTGCATTTGCAGGATGTCAGAAATTGACTATGTCCAGGCTATGAAAGAGGAATTTGAAAAGGTTGTCAAGCTTCAGGAAGAGCTTGGGATTGATGTTTTGGTGCATGGCGAGGCAGAGGTAGCAATATACTGAAACCGAGGTTTATTATCGATCTATTCCATTCTTTACCTCCCCTGATATGCCATAGTCCTGCAGAGAAACGATATGGTGGAGTATTTTGGTGAGCAGCTGTCTGGCTTTGCTTTCACATCGAATGGGTGGGTCCAATCATATGGGTCCCGGTGTGTCAAGCCACCTATCATCTATGGTGATGTGACACGACCAAAGGCAATGACTGTCTTCTGGTCGTCAATGGCACAGAAAATGACCAAACGTCCTATGAAGGGGATGCTCACTGGCCCTGTCACAATTCTTAATTGGTCCTTTGTTAGAAATGACCAACCCAGGTGTGACAACTAAGCCTATCAAATTCTCTTTCACTCTATATCGTATGCCATTTCACACCATTATTGTTTGTTTACAGGCACGAGACGTGTTTCCAAATTGCACTTGCCATCAAAGATGAGGTTCAGGACCTTGAGCAGGCTGGTATCACTGTTATTCAGATTGATGAAGCTGCATTAAGAGAGGGATTGCCTCTCAGAAGATCCGAACATGAATTTTACCTTGACTGGGCCGTCCATGCATTCAGAATCACAAACTTCTGTGTGCAAGACACTACTCAGGTAATTTGTTTCTCACTTTATTGCTCCTTTTTCAACTTATAAGAATATTTTTACCAGTATGTTGAGCGTCATGAACTTTCTGCCATTTTTCGTGGACAATGCAACGATAAAATGGAATGTGATATTAAGATGAAGGATGTGAAACAATGACTGAATTATGGAAGAGATCTAATTTATCTTAATAATGTTTGTTCTGAAAATGAAACCTTTTAGTAATGCTCTCCTTGTACACTTCATGCAGATCCATACCCACATGTGCTACTCAAATTTCAACGACATCATCCACTCAATCATAAATATGGATGCTGATGTGATCACTATTGAGAACTCGCGGTCAGATGAGAAGCTCCTATCAGTCTTCAGAGAAGGAGTGAAATACGGTGCCGGAATCGGTCCAGGGGTTTATGACATTCACTCTCCTCGAATCCCATCCGCTGAAGAAATAGCTGAGCGTATCAACAAGATGCTTGCAGTTCTGGAAAGCAAAGTCCTTTGGGTGAACCCTGACTGTGGCCTAAAGACACGGAAGTACTCTGAAGTTAAATCCGCGCTTAGCAACATGGTTGCTGCTGCCAAGCTAATCCGCGCTCAGCTAAGCAAGTCGTAAAGCCTTTCCTCAAAGTAAGTTAGTTCATTGTACCACTCTCTTCTCTCTTTAAGTCCTCTGATTATACCCGTTGAATAGATTATGAATTGAATTTCTCTATCAGTGGCTGGAATGAACAACTTTACTATGACAAATGCCAAGTCTGTCGGTTTTCATCTTATAGTTGGTACTTATTTTATAGTGTGAATTTTTTTCTTCTTCTGGCGCTGGAAATCATTATACTAAGGCTAATTAGAAATTTGTAAAATGGAGTATTTCTTATTTCTCGTCAGTGGTCACACATTTGTACAAACATGTAGAGGGGAATTAAGAAATATTATTTATTTTCTGCATGAGCAATCTTATACATTGTGAAAAGCAATTGTAAGGGTGACTCATTCCTCGGATTTCCACACAAAGGATGAACGTACTGCATTTCTGGCATAGAGTAGGATTAGCAGAACCAAGGAAACCGAAGCAGCCAAATTGCAAATTAACTGCCTTTTGTTCTTAGCTTCCTTAACCACATTTCCAGTTGCCTCTTTGTACTTCTCGAACCATTTCGCTCCATCTTTGTCTTTCTCCTCATCATTGGAACTCAAAGGTCCTTTAGGCTCATCATCAACTGTTTCCTTTTTTCCACTCTGTAGCTCCCTTGCTTTTTTCTGTACAGCATGTTTCAACTGCTCGATTTTACCACCGCCCAGCTTCTCAACCATTGGTTTTGAATCATGGCCTTGTCTTTTCTCGTGTTGATCATGTGGTTTCGTGACCACCTGATGGCCTTGTTTTTTCTCGTGTTGATCATGGGGTTTCGTGATCACCCCTTGTCTTTTCTCATGTTGATCTTGATGTTTCATCATCACCGGTGGTTTGACCGGTGATAATGGCTTAGTTTGAGGGATTTCTGTCTTGAGTTTGGGATGCCTGATGTAGAGTTTGTTATCCTTGAACATAGCTGAAACCGAGTCGACGTCAGCGGTCAAGGGAACGGGAATCTCCTGGTGGAAGCGAATCCATTTGTTTCCACCAGTTGGGCGTTCTCCTGTTAATCTTAGCTTCCTTGTTGCGGTTACCGCCACCTTAAGCTGTTCTTTCTTGAATCCTAACCACACAGAAGACAATGCTTAAGAACATTCTTGCTTTTCTAAACTCTTTGCTCTCTATGCTTATTTAATGTAGAAAATGGAAAATGAATAAACAAGATTGAGAAGAAGAAAACGAACCTGGAAGATCAGCGACAAGGACCTCGGCGTCTGGTTCAGAAGTCCATCTAGTTGCAGGCTCGAACTCTTGGTAAACCCTGTCCATTCCAAAGTTAGCCATTCTCTCACTCTCTCTTCTTCTTGTGGTTGCTCTTTTTTCTTTGGTTTATGAGTAATGGTTTTTGTTTGTTGTGAGAGAGCAGAGAAAGATAGGTATGGTTTTATAGGCAGAGAAGATTATTAGACAACAAAGAGGTTTATGATTTAGTTTTAGTTTGAAGAAACGAAGGCTAATTCTTTGGGTTTTCCACTTCCTCTTTTGTCTTCTTTGAGTTTTCTTTGTCTTCAAGATTTTGGAGATTCTTTGGATTAAGAGTAATATCAAGCATCATTTTTTATTTGCCTGTCGACAAAATTAGAGTTTCCAGATATTAATCAATGTTATTCCCATGTATATGAGATAGTACTGTCTTGTATGCAAGGTTGAATGATTATGAATCCAAACACCAACACCGTCATGCTCACGATTTTTGAGATTATGGATAAATTTGAATAGCAAAAAAGTTAAAGAGCTTTTTCAGTTTATATAAAAATGCATGCAGCTTATTACAGAGACCGGATTATCATAATCCCAACTTATTCCCAAACATAGTTGCAAGCACTTAAAAACCAAAAGAAAAACAGAGCAATAACACTCGCATTAAAAACACCAAACACAAGAGCTATCAAACGTTCTTCCTCTGCTGGACTTTCCATTCCAAGTATTTCTCGACAACATCGAGTCCACAAAACTCCTTCACAACAGGCATTGTTGCAGGAACAGGCAGCTCAAAGGTCAGATCAATCTCTTGTTGATTATTACTCCATGTCAGAATCTGTTTCTTGGCTTCTGTAACTGCTGCTCGGACCGCGCAGTGAACAGAAGCCGCTAAAAGCAATGGAGGCTCACCGGAAGCTGTATCAAAACCAAAACAAAAACAAAAGTTTGAAAAAGATTCTTGAGTTTTGATCTTTTGGGTTTCAAATAGGAACACAAAGAGAAGAAGTCACCTTTGGAAGAAAGAACACGGTTCTTGTGTTGTCCACTGTTGAGAATCTCAACATTAAACTGTCTTGGGATTGTGTCTACCGTTGGGATCTTGTAAGTCCAAGTGCTGTCTGTTACTATGAGACCGTCTGAGTTCATTAGATACTCTTCAAGCATAAAGAACCCAAGTCCTTGAACAAATGCTCCTTCAATCTGCAATTTACCATGAAACAGAACAACATAACATTACAAATCCAGATCCAGAACAGAAACAGACACACATAGAGTGGCTTCCCAGTTTTAAGTTTTAACCTGTCCTAAATCCACAGCAGGATTGAGACTTTTCCCGCAGTCATAGATAATATCCGTGCGCAGAATCGTTGTTTCACCCGTCAAAATGTTTACTTCAACCTGTTGATCACAACCAAAGAAGTGAAGTTGTTTCACAAAATGTAAAGTAGGCTAAGAAGAGTCATTGCTTCAATGTTTAGAGCTTTTACCTCGCTCGCTGCAACTCCATAGTTAAGGTATGCGCCAGTGGAGATATCCGGCGAGTATGCAGTACTAACCGACATGTTAATAGATTGTAGATAAGCCTACACCACATAATTCCAAGAACAGAACCGTTATAAGTCCACTCAAATGTAACCAGTGAACATCAAAAGCATGAGCAAGAGAATGTTTCAAGAGTATGGTCACCTGACTAATGAGGCTATCCCAAGTCACAGGTGCTCCTGTTTGCTCCGCCAAAGCGGTCTTCACTGGTAAAAGCCTTTCGACTAAACCATCACAGCAAATCCTAACCGCTTCGCTGCTGGCCTCAGAGCTTGTGCTACCACCAGTCACTGAGCCTTGTACCAAACTCAATGTGTCGGACTGGACCACCCGGATCTTCTTGAGAAGCTCATCGCTTGTAGTACCGCATTGGATCAGTCCAAGAGAAAATGCAGCCATCTGTTTCACTTTTGTCCATAGCCCTTGTCCTATCTCAATCCCTGGAACCTCAACCACTACTGACCCATCGCTCAACACGCTTACTCTTCCCGGTGTTAATCTCATGGACACTCCATAAACCGCAGGCACACGCGAGATCCCTCTCTTCCTCCACTTGTTTGATGCATTGAACTCCTCGACCACCTTCCTCCGCTGGTTAAACCCCGAGGACTCAGCGAGCTTGTCCCAAATCATTGGTAACGTGTACTCAGGGGATTCACCAGCTTGAGCGTTGTGAAACAACTTCAAGCTCTCATATGTATGGAGATTAACCTTCCTGATCTCATCAACATCAATAGAAAGATATGAAGCTACTTTCTCCATAATGGCTTCTGCTATATACGTTCCTTGTACATCCCCTGGAGCTCTAACCGCGGTTCTGCTCACAGTGTTTGTCTTGCATAGTTTCACATCAAAAGAGAGAGCACCCCAGTCATACTTCATCAGTGCACATTGAATGCCCTTTGGCATAAGCGGGCTTATATCTTCACTTATCCCTACCTCAAGTAACAACTCCATATCTAAACCAGTGATCTTCCCATTGGCTTTGAAACCAACACTATATGTAACTTTCATCGGATGTCTTCCTCCGGTTGTTATCATATCCGTTTTCCGGTTCACGTATATCCTCACCGGACGCTGCATCTTGGATGCTGCAAGTGCACAAGCTGCAGCAACCTATAGAAAGAACAAATGTTAGAAGTAAACATCAGACAATACTCACAGTACACACTTTCAGAATGCAAAAACTCACGGGCATTGATTTGGTGACTTTCCCACCGAATCCACCTCCACATCGACGAGTGATGACACGGACATTATGCTCAGGAACTCCAAGACATCCAGCGATGGTTCGATGTACATACTCGGGAACTTGAGACGAGCTATAAACCACCATACAGTTGTCTTCATCAGGCACTGCAAGAGCCGTTTGTGTCTCCATATAGAAGAAGTACTGTGACCCGAAACTTAACTATACAAAGATTAACATGATGGTTAGACAAGAACAGGGCTTGAGAAGCATATATATCTATAAGTCTTGAAAGGAACCACCTTAGATGCAAGAATCTTATGCTCAGCTTCAGCCATTCCTTTGGTGATATCACCGACCGGTTTACAACGAAGACGTGGAAAGATCTCGAAAAGGCTGGATCTTTCGACAGCTTCTTCAACGGACAGTATCGGTGGCTCTAAATTCTCTGTGTCATAATCAACCACAACAAGATTTGCTGCAACATCTGCAAGCTTCTGACTATCTGCAACCTGCAGGTAAAGAAACTTGAATCTAAAGTTTACTCTAAATAAAAAATGATTCAGAGGAAAAGAGAAACTCTTTACCAAGACTTACCAAAAAGGCTATGATCTGACCCGCACAGTGAGTGATTTCTTCTGCAAACAAAAGATCCGAACCAAAGAAACCTTTGGTGCCGATATTTTTCCCGCTTTTAGGAATATCTTTGTAAGTTATTATGCCAAGAACTCCCTCTGGAACTCTGTTTTCCTTGAACCTTATACTCTTGATCCGCGCTAGAGGCATTGTACTGTAGATAAATGCGCCGTAGAGACAGTTTTCCGGCGAAGGGATGTCGTCTACATAAACAGCCTCACCTGGAAATGTATCAAAAACATTAACATAGAATCAGTATTCACCATGCAAAGTGATCATAATTTATAGAGAACTCACCAGATGCTTGGAGACAAGCTCCAGCCTTTACAATGCCTTTCCCAACCGGACTATGTTCTTGGTTTTCAACAATCTGTTGTGCAGATGACAACATAGCTTCAGGTTTCAAAGATTCAACCTCGTGATCAAGACCAACCTCTCCTCCGTTGAGCCATCCGTTTGAAGTTTTAACATTTGTTTGAGTTAAAGATCCAAAGAACTCAAAGAAGAAAGTAACAGCCAAGCTTGATCTATAACCAGGATTCAAAGTACCCTTATCAGGTACTATCTCATCTTTAAGCAAGCCAATAGCGTCCATCAAAACCTCATCAGTGATCACTTTCCCTGTAAGAAAGTCTTCCACTTTCCTCGCCCTGTGTGCATGTTTTGTCCCATAAGCTCCAAAAGCTAACAAACAATCATGCACAACAATGCCATCAAGCTCTTCACTCAAAGAAACTTCAGCTGAGAACGCTGCATTCAGAAACGCCAACGCGTTTCCTAGAGGACGTGGCGCTGCTCTGTAAGTCTCAAAGAGAAAATGCGTATCCGAAGAAGAACCGTTCTTCTTCACCTTCACGGAGCTCCAAGAAGGGATCTCAATGCTCAGAAGAACAGACTTGGTATCAAGAGGAGGCTGTTGAAGAAACTCTTCCAATGTAAACTCTTCTTGACCAGAGCCGCTACTCATGATCTTCACAGTTGCTCTAGCAGCTACAAGTATGGTTGTGAGATCCGAAGGAAACTGTTTCCTCTGCGCCATCATGATGTTTCCTCCCACCGTCCCCGTGTTCCTCACGAACCTGTTCGCAATCTTCTCCATATGATCCGCCAGTTTCTCCAACATAGAAACATTCTCTTCACCTCTCAAAACCTCAATAGCTTTCGATATAGTCACAGCAGCTCCTAACTCAACTCCTTTCTCATCTCTTCTCACCACAGCAAGCTCCGGAATCCGCCTTACATCGAAAAACCGTTCGTACGTCCTCTGTTTCTCTTCTTTGTAATACCCTGTGCTCGTGTTACCCGCAACTAACTTAACCGCCATTCCATTCTCAGCCTCTGATAATAACCCCTGAAGCTCCGAGACACTCACAGGGCTTGACCATCTGTACTTTCTTGGATCAAGAACCATACCGTTCTTGATCTCTTCCTTCAAGAACTCAGGAAACTTACAGACTTGAGATGTTGCATGATCATAACAAGGCAAAGTTTTTAAAACCTCGGCTCTGTTTTGTTCTCCCTTCTTGCAAAAGGAATTGTATCCGAGGTCTTCGATGTCCACGTCAGCTGAGAAGCTCTTACAAGCGTCCACGAGCGGTCTGTAACCGGTGCACCGGCATAGATTCCCTGACACAGCCTTCTCTGCTTCAGCAGCCGTGAGGTTTGAGAAACCGTTGTGAGGAGGAGGATGAGACTTGTCAGCGTTCAAGAGAGCGGAGAACATGGAAACGCTCATTCCAGGAGTGCAGAAACCGCATTGCGTGGCGTGGAAACCGGCGATACGCTCGTGGACAGCGTGGAAACCGGCTCTGCTGTTGCCGAGGCCTTCTGAGGTAGTGATGGAGCAGCCGTCGATGCTGCATAGGAGCGTGAGACAAGAGCTGACTGTGAAATCATCGACCTTCTCGAGCAATGGATCATACTTTGAGAGAAGAACAACACAAGCGCCACAACCACCTGCGTCCAGAGAAGATATATTTACTTAGAACACAAAAAGCAAAAGCCAAACGCTATAAAGCAAAAACCTGTTTATTGAAAAAGTCAAACAGATAAATTGGCGTTTGCAATTTACACTTCTTGCAAAAACACTTTGAAAATATATTTTTTTCTTCTAAAAATTGTATAACTATTTGTGGATTGTTCAAGAAATGCATGCGCAGATCAGTGCTTAAAATCCGGAGTCGGAATCGAATCAGTCTTTGAAAAGGAATCAGTTAATCTTGCAATTTCTACTATCTTTTGGGGGAATTTTTTCTATTGAATTTAACTCTTTTTCTCAGACAAAAGACTCAAGAACATGAAGATTAGAATTAAAAGTAAAATTTGGTTTACTGTATTATCGTACCTTCGCCACAGCCGAGCTTGACGCTCTTGAAAGGAGTCTTGTTGCGCAAGAAATCGATGAGTGTAGTTGAAGGATCAAGGGAAGAGAGCTCGAGCTCGAATCTTTCACCATTAATGGCGAAAACCATAGAAGTCTTGCTCTTCATCGCTTCTTCTATTTCTTCAATCACTTTCTGCTCACCCATTGATTTTCTGACTGCTTTCAGAACAGATTAACCTTAAAATTTAGCTTTTTTCTTTTTGTAAGACCACAAAATTTAGTTACAGTGACACCGATTCATATCTCAGTTTAATGTTGGATATGGATTTGGTTTTGGTTTCGTGCTATGTGTAACTGACAAAGTCTTATTCCTCTTTAGTCACACGACAAGATTTGTCGTCATAAATAGATCTAATTTTTTTATTTCATAAAATAATTAGTGAATTAATAGAATATTTGTAGCGTTGGCGTATGGTTACGTGTTGTGATCATTAGGTAGGTTTTTTCTTTTTATGCTTTGTGAAAGATAATGCTAACAATTACCTTAAATATATACTCCATC